AATGATGGTCTGAACGCGCGTGTGCGTGTCGCGCGTACAAGCAGAGGGAAAACGATAATTATACGTGTCGGTAATATACGCCCGTAAAAAAAAAAAACACACTCCTCTCACGCACCGAAAAAAAAAAAAATAAATAAAATACGTAATATCGTATACATACGACCATATGGGCTAACAATGACAGTGCACGCGGACTCGTGGCCGCGCATAAATGTTTCGAAACATGTTAAAACTGTTGCACGCACAGGCCCGGGCAATGTGTGCTGCGCGTACGTATTTTATGCAAATTACGCTGGTCGCCCACCTAAAAGTTATTAGAGATACGTGTTCTTTCACACACGTACACCGATCGAACGGTATCTGCCGATCGCGCGTCACTTCGTAACCGTTCCCTGCCACAGGGGTACAACGGCGTGTTCGTCGACGGGATTTCGACGCAGCGCATTTTTTTTTTTTTCTACGGCCGCACTATACTGCCAACCCGTGTTCTTTGTCGAATATTACACGTTTTATTCGATCCCATTTCGCGGTAAAACCGCACGTTCGATAAAATCGGTTCGACTCGGGTTTGCTCCCGGCGTGTGTTCGGCGGAGTCGTGCACGTGTGACGAGACGCGATGAAACGTAATTACAATAACGGTCGCACGCGGAACGGCAACGTTCGAACGCAATAACGCGTCGGCTGTTCGCGTTCACGACGCGCACTCGCGACGTTTTGTTGCGCGTCCCGTTACGGTGTCGCGCGCGTTTCACGGTAGGACTCGGCGCGTGGAACCGGTTTCGTCGCGTGGGCGTATCGCGCGCGGCTAAAAGTCGCGCGTGAGAACCCGTCGCCGCTGCGGATGTCGGCGGAACACTCGGGATTTATTGCGCCCCCCGCCGTCCCCTCTGTCGCGTACGTCTCCTAGCAATCCTGGAACGGGAAACATGGTGCCGAATTTTCGGAAATTAGTTCCGCAGCAGACGACATATGTGACACACGACGGTCGCAGCCCAGTTAACGGTGGCCGTTAATCCCGCGTATCCCCCGCGCGCAGTATGCCGGCTTCCTTCCGTCGAATCGTACGTCGTCGCCTCCAGGACATATCCATAGTAAATGTGCGCGTACGCATCGTCCTTTGACGTGGTCCCTTCCCTTTGGACATACACACGGTTTTTACGGCTTTAGCCCGCCGTTACCGCGGCACTCGTACGTACTTCTGACACGATCAATTGCCCTGGAAATCCGAGTACTGGTGTAAAAAATATCCAAATCGCTGATGTATTGGAGCTATGCACGCAGATAGGAATCTCGTGTCGTAGAGCAAGAAAACATTGTCTTAAATATAAGAGAACAAATACAGTAGTCACAATAAATAATGGTGACCATTTCGATGTAAATTTAAAACGAATATATAGTGAAACATTTTTCTTCTAAAAATTATTGTAATTGCGTAAATTCGATTTATTTCATTTGTATTTAAAACAAAAATTATTTGTACAATTCAATATTGTATTTGTAATGAAAATGTCTAGAGATCTTAATCCGTATTGCATGTATTTCGTTTAAGCATTGTGGGTGCTAAGAATGTGTTTAGAACATTTTTTTTTCTAAATTTAGTTTTTAACACTAAAAAAGTTATTTTTATGAATCAAGCGTATTGCTTGTAATATATACCTCCAATAATAATGCTTTACCGCTGTTTTTACTACTAATATTACTAAAACTACTACTTACTACTGATACCACTTCATCTATTAGTGTCTACTGCTGTACTGTAACACGTGTGGACGGCGCACCTGACAAGTGTCGCTGTCGTCCGCGCGCGCGTTTTTAATATTGTTTGCTCGTCATAAATATTTGTTCTCCCGCTATACTGCTGCTGTAGGGCCCCCCTCGACGCCGCTGTGTCTCTATGTGCACACATTATGTTGTAAAAATTATTACGTTTACCGCCGACCAAACTTGTAAACGTTTTTCATGATATTTCGTTACCAATGTAACCCGTGTGATGGTTACCCACCCAAAAGTACACAACGCTCCTTCGTATACGTATCGATGCGAAAAATAATCACAATCGTCTCTCGGTTTGATAGGTTATTTTAATATTACGTATACTCGGACATTATTCGAAATAGAATAAACTTATGTACGATAAAGATTCGAATAAGTATTTGCATTTGTCGTATTTTCTATACGCACGCGCAACTTATATAGGTATTTTTTCCATCGCGAGACAATCGAAACTTACACGCGTATAAACTATGATTGATAATAATCAGTGCTCGAATTGGGGAGGGACGCGGATGGACGGAGTCCGCTTTCATTTTTCTATAGATTTCAGCGTCCCCCTTCATTTAATTAAACGAGGAACGCTAAAAACGAGTCCCCCTGGGGATGTTTACTTTTGAACGGTGTATTTGGATTTTGTTTTTGTTTATTTCTATTTTCTATAGCAAACTGCAAAGTAATGGTTATTTTTTCTCTGAAAACGGTTATCGTTAACGACAATCACAGACTAAGATAATAATCATGGCTAAATAACTATATAATTTTGAAGTGATTTCGGTTGTATGGTCATATAGTTATTTCTACTTTCTACTTTTGACCACCTTTTGAGAACTTTTTGTTTAATTTTCCACCAATTGACGAAATTATCACAACAAAATGGATTGAATCGTGGGTTAAGAAAGGTAAACGAATAGGAGATGAAAAAAATTGTCTTAAAAGGATAAAAATTACTGAAGAAAATGCATACAAGTCATTGTGGAATTTAATTAAAGAATAATATTTATTTTTGTAATTAATATTATTTCGTTATAAAATAATGTTATAGTAATAAGCAAATAAATATTATATAATAATACTACCTTTATAGTGCCATATTATATGTGTAGGGGGCGCGGGGGACGAAGTCCACAACGGGTTACTTTACAATTTATCAGCTATGGAATGGTGTTTTGTAACTAAAACCAGCGTCCGTCCTCAATTTTTTTTCCAATTCGAACACTGATAATAATTAATTATATCTCAGTCCTGTCGATGCAGAATTCACTATCTCGTCCAACTTTTGCGTATACGCGTTTTGTCATGTGCGGACCATCGTAGTGACGTATTTATCCAAGGGTCCTGGATTACACGGAGCAAAAACAACGAAAACGAGAGCAAAAGATACTAATGCCGATTTACGTAACTATTTAGATGATAGCTTACATGTACTAAAGACAATACTCGTGCCTCGTTTTCTATTAATAATGGTTTTTTTAACATCACATACACGTATCTATCGTGTTGGAATTTAAAATTTGAAAATGCGCCACTGGATAACATCCATAATAATAAAAGTGTTCTCGCATTCGAGACAAAGACGCGTTTAGAAATTTTGGCGAATCGTATACGTACATAAATGATTACCAATCGTATGCAAAACATATAATGCACTGCATAGTACTCGTCATGGCGGTCCCCTTCGCCTGTTACGTACACGTACAATATGTATTACATGTAAACGCCGTGAGTGACCAAACACCTTTCCGTCGTCCTGCTCTCCGGGGGCGATTTTTCTAACGGACGAAAAAAGGGTGACGGCCGGTAACTCTCCGCGGACTGTTTTTCCACCCTTTTTTTTTTGGTGGCGCGCGCGCGCGCTCGGACTTTGGCTTGCTCGTAAGAGTAAGAGGGTGGCGGTGACGGCGTCGGGTTAATGAAACACAAAAAAACTCGATTGTATATACATATATATAGGGTTAGGTTAGTATATATATATATGTATGTATTTATAAGCGCGTATGTGTGTACGCCCCTACCCCCTTTAGTTCTCTTTTTACATGTCGCATTGTACGTGTGTGCGTGTATGTTGCACGCAACCACCACCGCCGCCGCTGCGGCCGATTGTGCAATAATCCGAAAAGGGTCCCCGCTCGATATACATTATAAGAGTAATGAACGCGAAGGGAATACACACTGCGAACGCACAACAATATACGTACACCTCCTATATTTGTACATTTATATCGACAAATTGGTTGACTTAATCGAACGCGTAATAAGAACGGTGGAAGAGTCGTTAAAAAAATAGTCGTCTTTTACACGTATATAATTTTATTTTCGGGAATAATACTGTCGCTATGTATGGCCGCCTGCACGATTGCCGATGCCAAAACATTAGCGTCCGTGGGCCAAAAAAAAAAAAACCGTATAAATAGACGGAGAATTAATGTTCTTAAACCGTCGCATCGTCGTCGTCGTCGTCGTCATAATATTCATTGTACGTAAAGAATATTATTATTATTAAACGTTCAACTGTGTTCAACCGTTTAAGAAAATAAAATAATAAATTATGTTCACTTCATAGGCGCGCGCAAATTCGATCGTTAAATAATGCACGCGCCGGTGTAGGTCAACAATTATTTTTTTCGTTTACAAAAAAGGGGTGACTCGTATTTTGGTTCTTTCTCAGGATTTTTTTTTTTCGATCGTATAAAACGAAAACAAGTGTTTCTGTCGATTTCTACCGACGACGACGGTTGTGGTGGTGTTGCGGTGTGATGGTGAAGAAAAAACAACAGTTATCGGTAATAAAATTCAATCGTCAGACGATGCTTATGAATTATATATAAGTACGGACGGAAAGAAAAACCGTACACAATTTGTTTTGCTAATGCGTGTTATGTACAACAATAATTATACATATAATACTCTGTGTAGAAATCCATTTACGTGCGGAATGTGTTCGAAAATGAATAGGTTTTTTTTTTACAACATCGGTTCAGAAACACAGTATGTCTGTACCGGAAATGCCCGTTTATCGGAAAACTATATTTTATCTGAACCCCTCCATCCGTCCATCCGTCGTGAAAAACTATTATTTTTGTTTCTTCGCGCGCGAATTAATCTCTTTTAATAATGTAAATACGTATATATATATATATATATATATATATATATATATATATATATATATTATACATATATTAATTATGTATGTTCCGCGCTCATGACACACAAATTGTTGTTACAGGGTCGCGGTAGGAAGCGGGGCGTGAACAAAGGTAGAGACGGTCTCGGATGGTCGAGTGTGGACCACGGAAACCCAGAGGTAAGTTTCGATTGTTTATTAGTACTTACTTACTACACGCGGCGTCGTTTTGTAACTCTGGTTTGAAAAGTCATCCGATAACGTTTTCAGAGCGTATTTATATTGTTTTTTTTTTATCATCGTTACAATACCGATCATATCCGCCACCGCCACCTTCACCACCGCCGTCTTAAGAATCACCGGGAGGGGAAGAAAAAATAAACCATACGATTGCGCGCATTACAACAATATATTGTATTATATTCAAACGAGTTTTGTTTGGGTGCATTGAAACGTTTCAGCGGTGCATACGTACGTATACGCTAATAGCCATCAGACGTAATTAGTAATTACTTCCCAACGCGTGTATTATATGGCGATAAACACGATTAGACCGGTTTTATTTTATACATGAAATATATGTATTTATTTCGGATCACGAACGGTTACGAAAAATCTACCATTATCTTATAGATATGTTATAGTGTGCTAGCCGCCGCGTTGTTATTGAACGGCCAAAGTCTACTGCTACACTCGAAACCGAAAATAGTTTTCAGATGATAATTATTATTTGCCTACCGTTTATGTGCGAGTATGTATATTATTTTTTTTTCTCTACAACATTGATAATATTTTTTCAAGTAGGTACGACATGATTTTTATAATCGGTTACTGCAGTGCTGTAAAAATAATATATACACATAAATGTATGTACGTATGAAACTGTGTGAAATTAGTCTATTAAAAATCTCAACAAATTATACACTTACGTTTGCACGATAACACATACTATAATTATCGTTGGGAAAAAAATGTTTATAATATATAATGTAATGCTCTTGCATGTCATTAGCGTTCGGTCCGTAAATGATAGCGCGTATCATAACACCTTATACACCTATACACGCCGTTTAGGTATTTGTACGTTAAATTTCATTATTAATGCGCTGCAGACACACGTGTGTTGCCCAGTTTTATCGGTTAATTTTAATGAATCACTGTACACAGATTATGTGCGCGTTGAAATTGTTTTCTCATATCGTTACTTTTAGTGCATTTCGTTTATTATTTATTAACACTCTGTAACGCCACAAATTTTGGAATATAAAAAGGAAACCGATCTCATCGATAACATTTAACGCAACCGATAATGCAGCCGTTCGATTTTATTTTAGGGTATGTAGTATACAATCTGAACGCCGTCTAAACTTTTACCGACTACGGTTTAAATTTACTTATTCCATCATCAGGGCTCGGAAATTCTAGCGAATGCATAATTTTCTCGGTTCATCCTAGAACATCCAAAGTAAGACACAAATATGTTTCACACTACTCGAATATCAAACACAAAATTTAATTTTGCTATTTTTTGCGTATTTTACGGGCCTTACTGCTATTTTGCTCATTTAGAGTTAATGCTATTTTTGGGTACAGTTTCACATAATACAGGAAATAATCATATTTTGATGATAAAAATGGTGTTTACTTGGTTATATTTTTAAAAGTATTTGAATTATCAAAAATAAATGGACCTCATCAAGTATTATTATATGTTTTCATCGACAATTGAGATGTATTAATAGTTATTGACGTCATTGTTATTCCCTTATTGTGTATCATTGCATTAAATTATCAAACATTAAAAATCCAGGGTAATTTCCAAATATATAAAATAATTTCATTAAAAATATACTTTTATAAATATATTTAAGTAATTTAACTCAAAATGATAACACTAAATATTTAGGTATCTATCTAGACAAAAAACTAAATTGGGCCTACCATTTTTAAAACAAACGAAAATCATTAAACCAACGTCTTCATTCCCTGAGACATCTTCTCCGTTCTAATATGCCACTTAATATAAAACTACTAATATATAAACAAATTATACGCCCAGCCATGTCTTATGGTATTCAACTTTGGGGATCCGCGAAAAAAATCAAATATTTCTATCTTACAATCCTTCCAATCAATTAACCTATGAATGATAACAGGAGCTCCATAGTATATTAGTAATCACACTCTCCATAAAGATCTAAAAATTTTAACACTTCCTGAACTTGCTTCTTGCTATTTTAAAAAATTCCACAGTGACACAAAACCATCCTAACTCCCTAATATCTAATCTCCATAATCCTTCTAACCCTATTAACCCATTACGTCGATTTAAAAGAAACTGGGCTAGAGACCTTCTCTAACTCATTTTAGCACAAATTTTATTTATTTTTTTTTTAAGTGGTGTTAATCGACTCCTTCTTCTTGCACGATATTCATGCGTTGTAATATGTTGTTCAAAAAAATTTAATTATTGTATAAAGTATACAGATTGTACTATTTTTTAATAAAAAAAAAAATGAATAATTTAACTTTTTTGTTAATGGTTTACAATTCAGCCAGACCAGACGTCTACAAGTCCAAAAATTTGTAAAATCATATTTAATTTTTTCCTAATAAATTTATAATTTTTTCAAGTTAAATGCATATTTTTTGATTTTTCGTGCTATTTATAACACATATTTAAGAGTTTTTAAGTGCGTATTTAAGAGCTAAAAAGTAACATTTTTAGTGCTACAACTTCAGAGTCCTGATCATCATTATTGAGGTTGTTACTAACGTGCGTTTCTCGTGTGTTACATTATTTTTGTGTGTGTGAAAAAATGCGTCTTATTTGTAAGACGGCAAACGAACGGGGCGGTACTCCTTTCGCCCAAAAATGACCTTCCTTTTTTTGCCCACGTCCTCTTTTCGACCAAAAATAATTGTATTCTTTTCGCCCATGGTTTCACGTTTTACATTTTGGAAACCACTGTCTCAAAATTAATATTTTTTAAAAAAAATCATATAATAATCAAATAAAAAAAATAGAAAAGATATATAATTATTAATAATAATTTAATAAGTGTTAAAAATAAGTATTTAAAATAGTGTTATCGATGTAAAATAACTAATAAGTAATTTGATCAGGTTACTACTTAAATAAATAGTTTGTTTTGTTGTTGTAAAATAATACAAATATTCATATTAATTATGACTTTTAAGTAATTATAACGTTTATTAAAGTGTTTTAAACTATATATTTCGATAGAAGAGTCGGCACCTTTATACACTTTTCTCGACTGACTATATTAATAACAATCAAAAACGTGATTTAAGATTTTTTAAGAATTATTAATTTTGAGAAAGTGGTTTCCAAAATGTAAAACGTGAAATTATGGGCGAATATAATACAATTATTTTTGGGCGAAAAGAGGAAACTGTTTTTTCATTTTTGGTCGAAAAGAAGACGTGGGCAAAAAGAGGAAGGTCATTTTTGGGCGAAAAGAGTTCCGCCCAACAAACGGAATCCGCGACGGACATTGGTGTTGATCTTTCGGAGAGTTTTCATAAACACCTTTGAACGCCTTTTACCTATCATGGAACATTTTTACCGTTCAGGATTTGTTTCAATTAACCGACGACGATGACGTCAGCCGGCTAGTGACATGCGGGCGAGAGAGAAATGATTTTCGATTTTAATAAGATAAATAACCCATTGCACTCGTGTTCAGCAGTTGTTTAAAATATTAAATACCTTCGTGATATCCATCGATATACATATTATTCGATATTTTACAATGAATACAATGAGTACATACTATCGATATACTTCTACACATCGTAATACACAATAAAACTACAGTACATACAGCTTAACGTGTAATAATAGTCGGATATTGCGGTCAATATTATAACATGTATATGTTTTTTTTCGATGATACTTTTTTCTCCGGCTCATCGGTTCGGTTTTGTTTTTTTGTTTTTAAATTTTAACGATAGGTAGGTGACCGAAATATACGCTATAGATCATGGTTTTGTGTTACATAATCGGTGGTGGTAATATGGGGACGAAAAAATTATTTTTCAGCGTAGCCGGACAAACCGGTGTGTGTGTGTGCGTGTGTGTGCGATTGTCGTCGTGCATTATTTACGAATCGTTGATTTTTTTCGCTTTTTTTTTAACCCCTCAAAACGAGAACGGGTCGAATTTAATTGAATTAAAAATATAAAAACCCGAAGCCTTTCCATCCTCTACCACGCATATACACACCTATACACGCGCTGCGCACGCTCACGCGTAGAACCCCTTTTTTTTCGTACCTACCTGCTGCCTACACCCGCGCGCGTGCACACACGTGACCGCTAAATTGGTGGAATTATCTGTCTGCCGTTTTTTATTATTTAATTATAAAAGAATGGTCAGCGTGCGCGCTCACCGGCATTCCGATTTTTCCGACGAATAATATGTAAATGTATTATTTATAATCCAATATTATACACGTCATCGTCGGTCACCCGTCATATCCACTACCACCACCACCACCATCACACGTCTAAAAAAATATATTCGGTTTTCTCGGTTGCCGCGGACAACATCAAATCTTTTTATTGTTTCACATTATAATGCATAAGGTCTCGGAAATAGTGATGCGTTTCTATTCAAATCAAATCGTGCTATTCACGCCGTTCGCCGTTCAACACCCCGAAGGGGTTGTTTTTATTTTTTCGCTATCGTTTTCATCGTCACGATGAACATATATCGCCGCACGACGGTTGTACGATTTGTTGTGGACGTTGTTGAGCGTTTAATATTTTTGTGATCCCTTTGTTTTTCCGTCGTTCGATAATTCAAACGACGTGTTTCAAATGTTGCGCTCCGTTCCACCGCTTCAGCACCGGTCGGCCGGACACCGCGCCCGCGATTTCAAACAGCACAGTACACGGTCACAAACGAGTAGCTTACCGACACACCACATGTATGCGTGTGCGCGTGGCCCGCGGCAGCGACGAACGACTCGCGCCGGCTGTGTTATACGACCGATGGCGGTGGCGTGTACCAGCCGCCGCCCGAACGTCGGAATTCGTTTCGTCGCCGTCCCCTTCCTCGCCGTCGACATCTCCTTCGTCCTCCTCTTATTGCGTTTAGTTTTTTTCAACGTGCATACAGGACGATCGGCACGACGTACCACCGACCCGTATGA